GTATTCCTATTGCTTATCTTCTCATCTGTTTTATCTTTTGAAACTGATTGTGTGAAACCATGACCCATTTACAAGTAGCTCATAGTATTGTAAAAATGGCTGAGGAGGAGATCCACAAGCTGTAAAGGTTAAGCATACAGACCAGGCCTCTGTCTGCCTGGCTCTTCCACTTATCTATATGAACCTGAGTTCTCTCTCTCTCTCTCTCTCTCTCTCTATCAAAACAACCAAGTTTTCCCACCCTGTCCCACCCCTGCTTGTTGTTTTAATCTTCTTAACCAAGCATGGTAGGCTCTTTTGTTATCCTCATTTTGCAAAGTAGGAATTTGATGCTCAAAGGTTAAGGAAAGTGTCCAGAGTTGCACAGCCAGAAAAAGTGGAGTTGAGATCATGTACCATGGAAGCCTGCCCCATACCCACACTTCACAGCTGTGCTTGAGTGAGGTTAAAGCCATGACTGAGATCTTCTTTAGAGCCAGCTGGTCCCCACTGGGAGATGGATTGGGGACCGAGAATGTTGGTGTCCTCTCCCAGTGCTGGCTCCCGGGGGCTGTCTTGCATAGAAAGAAAAAAATGTGACCCCTAAAGGTTTAATTGTCATGGCGGCCAACCTGTCCTGACAAGCCCAGGAAATTTCGTCTTATCAAGTAATGGAATTGTTTTTAGAAGCAAGAATGAACTCATTACGGATGCAGCTTGTGCTAATAATAATAATTTGCTGAGCAGTGAAATCACCTCTCTACACCTTCCCCGGCCGACAGACAACACTCTAGAAATTATAGGCTAGGGAGAAACAGAAAGGATAAAGATTAAGGAAAAGAACTGCGATATGGAAACTGCTTGAACAAAAGGAGTCACAGCTTTGCACACTGAGCTTGGTGATTGTAATCAGGAAGTTGTAGAAGAATTAGATAATGTTAAAGAATTTTCTAAATTGCCTTTGGCATCTCTGATACTGGGTGGTTGTTGTTGGTTTGGTTTGGTTTGGTGGTGGTGGTAGGTTTTTTTCTTTGGTTTTGTTTTTTTGATGGGCCTTGAACTCAGGACCCCACATTTGCCAGGCAGGTGCTGTGCTGCTGAGCTACATCTTTGGCCCTGGTTTGGTTTTGATCTTACAGATAAAGCCTTTAAAAAAAAAAAGTTAGAGCATCAACTTAATTACTGATGCATGATATGATTATGGGAAAAGCAAGAAGAGGGCAGTCCTGGCGCCCTGGAGCCTCAACCCCATGCAGCCATCTGCAAACTGTAGGTCTGGAAAAGGGGTCCAAGCAGACATGCCTGCCATGTCACTCATCTCTGAGGGTCTTCAGAGATACAACTGGCCAGCCACATGACCCATGGCAGTTTGAAGTCTGTCCCCTGGCTTCCTTTCTGGGAATGTGAGGTCACTCTTCCAAACGTTTTAAGAAAACTAAGAGCCTATCACCAAGCTTTGCCCCAGTCCTTTGAAGAGAATGCCAACTACCTTCTTCTGAGGTGTGATTTTCCCTTAAAATATATAATCTCCAAAAGTTTAACATATCTTTTATCAATTCAAATAAAGATTTTAAGATATTTTTTCCTAATTATGAAAGCTATACCTGCTGGCTGTGGAAAAATCAGAAAAACCACCAAGAAAAGAAAACCAATAGCACCACCAGTGAAACGACCATTGTTAGCATTAGAGGTTAGCTCTCCCTTTCAATTAAACAAAAAAATGCAATTACACTGTGTGTACCTGTATATACACATAGCTTTGCTGCTATTGTACACAGATGATCCTGTTTTCGTGTACTGTATCCTAAATACTTTTCCATAGCAGCATTCTTCTATCACATCAACTTTTTTTTTTAATTGAGTTTATTGGTACATTTTAGGGATACAGTATAGTTACATTCATGTTGAGATCTTGTACCTCTACATGACAGGTCTTGGTTCTCATTTTTTCCCCTTGTTCCTGCCCTCCCTTCACCTCCTCTTCCCCTCCCCATTTACAAGCACTTTATTTCCATCTTTTCATTTTCTCATATTTTTTTCTTTTCCCTTATTACCCTTCCCCTACCCATCCCACCTTCCCTACACCTGTAGCCCTTTTCTTCTTGTGTCACAATGTCAGTTATCTCATTAGGATCTTATGTACTATTACAGTTTATTCACACCAGAGAAACTATTCAGTATATTCAGTCATATGTGTGACTTATTTATCTCACTTAGGAGTATATCCTCAATATGTATCCATTTTCCTATGAATGAATATAATTTCTCATTCTTTTTGGCTGAGTAATATTCCATTTTATAGAAAAACCACATCTTCTTTATCCAGTTTCCAACTGATGGGCAAATGGTCTGTTTCCAAGTTTTAGCTATTACAAACTGTGCCGCTATAAACATGGGTGCGCATACATCACTGTGATGTGATTCTTTTAGTTCTTTTGGAAAGATACCCAGCAGAGGGATGGCTGGGTCAAATGGAATCTCTAGTCCCAGCTCTTTGAGGTATCTCCATATTGATTTCCACAGTGGGTGCACCAGTCTGCACTCCCACCAACAATGGAGAAGGGTTCCTTTTTCCCCACAACCCGGCTAACATTTGTTATTGTTTGATTTCTTGATAGCAGCCATTCTTTGTGGGGTGAGGTAGAATCTCAGTGTTGTTTTCATCTGCATCTCTTGAATGACCAGGGATCACATCAACTTTTAAATGATCATTTATACTATAATCCCACATCTGGCTGAGATGTTTTATAAGACAGTCACCCTTTCTACACAGGCTTGGCTGGTTGTTTCTCTGTTTGAGGGTCCTTATGCATTTCTGGAAGCTCAGGCTGTCCGGTGAATCCTGCAAGCCTTTTCTCAGAATAATGTGCACAGTAAAATACATAAGATTACAAAAGAAATGTTATCAAACATTAAAGAGAACAGATTTGTGCACAATAGTTACAGAAGTGTTTCTTTCTTCCTATATTGCATAACAATATATTAGAAAATAGTAGTTCTACTAACCACTATAACTGTAAAGTAGAGATGAGCATTAACATTATTTCTAGCTGTTTAAACAAATATCATATGATATAAAAAGATCCCTGATTCCTCTGGAGCTGAGGTGACAGGTCCTGCTGTGTCTGTTGCTGACATTTATTAATGAAGGAAATACCACACTACACTCAGAGAGCTGTGAAAACAAAGATGAAACCTTTTTCCCACCACAGTTGTCCAACCTCCTGATTCTGACCCATGACATCTTGGGAAGGTAGGGAGCCCAGACAAAAGCTCTTGCCTTTGGAAGGACTCTCATCAGTTTTGCTCTGTGCACTTTTGAACTGTTTGATACCAATGGTCCCTTCAACCCCTGTTTTAGCTTTTCATTGTTGTGACAAAATAGCTAAGAAAAACAAAACAAAACAAAAAAAACAGTCCTTAAACTACGTCCCACCTCTAGTTTCCATCACCTCCCACTAATCTCATCAAAATTATGATCTCAGTAAGGTGATTAATTTACTGATGAAGTTAAAGCCCTTGTGATCTAATCAATCACTTCTCTAGGCCCCACCTCTGAAAACTGCTCTATTGAAAACTGTTACTTGTCGCTTTTCTGTGAGTGGGGCAAAATATTTGACACCCACAAAGAAGGGAAGGTTTATTTTGCCTCCTGGTTTTCAAAGGTTCAACCTACACGTGGTAACCAGACTCAAGGCACAAATGGCATGCTGGAAAGCTGTTGAACCCATGGCAGTTAGGAAGCAGAAAGACAGGACAAAAATACACTTTTCTAGATCACATCGCAGGGATGCACCTCTCACAAGTGGGGATTTTAGATCTAAACCACAACAGGGATTAAGCCCTCAGCGCTTGAGTGTTTGGAGATGCTTCATATTTAAACCACACCCACCCATGCCGAGCTAGAAAGCTGCTTCTGATTTCTTCCAAGTGCTGAAGGCTGCCCAGTGAGGTCAGAAGAATGCCTGTCAGGGCAAGGGGCAAGTAGCCAATGTCATGGGTTGGAAGGTGTCTCTCAAAAAATCCCCTTCAGAATGCAACTGTTTCAGAAATAGGATCGCTGTAGGTAGACTTAGTTAAGATGAGGTCAGATGGGAGTAGGGCAGGTTTCTGATCCAGTATGACCTCTGTTTTCGTGGAGGATGGCTACGAGAAGACACAGAGACTCAAGTTACTAACTTGGGGGGCAGAGATTACAGTTATGCAGCTATTTGTTATTTTTCTCTTGTTGCTGAGACAAATTACCTGGCATCCAAAGTTAAGGAGAAAGGGTTTATTTGATCAGTTTGTCGGTGTTTTTTCAGCCCATAATCAGCTGGCTCTAAGGCAAGGATGATGGCACGTAGGCTTAACAGACAAGAAGCAACATGGCGCACGCACAGATAGCGATGGCAACAGAGGACTTTAGCAGCATCTTCCTGCGCCTTTTTATCTTATTCAGACTACTTAGGGTAGCACTCACACCTTTAACCCCAGTACCTTGGGCCTAGCCCATCATGAATCGATCACTCACTCTCGATTCAGCTACCTAGAAAAAGCATGAGGCTTTGGGGGACATCTAAACCCAAGCCATAACAGCAGCAAAGAATGGCATGGCTGCTGCGGAGTTGGGGAGAGGCAAGGACTCCTCTCCACATGATGAGACCCTGCTAACAATCTTGGTTTTGGACTTCTAGCATGAGAGACGATAAACTTCTACTGTGTGAAGTATGTAGTACTCATTATGTAGTACTTTGTTAGGGCAGCCCTGGAAAACTAATATAGCTGGTACCTGCCAGCTGGGGCCTCCTGGAGAATGAGACTCTTAAAAACCAGGGATAGGATGGGCATGGCGTCTCTGCCAAAGTTGAGGATATGTCACGCCAGCACGCCGGGACCAGGTTAGCTGACAAGGACAGACTGCTTAGGGGGCTGGGCTGTGGCTTCAGAGAAGAGCCGGGCCCAGCTATGAAATTTACCTCTGGGATTTAGAAAGAGTTGACTCACCCTGGCCCTTCTCAAGGTCAGCAACACCTGGGAAAAACAACCATAAAATCCTGTGGCACTCTGAGAAGTATCCTGTTTATCCCCATAGGACAACAAGGCAGACAGTAAAGAGTTCTCATGTCCTCACTGTGGTGTGGAAGTCTGCAGGCTTCTAGCTCTCTGCAGACTTGGCTGAGGACAGTGGCTCTAGGTAAACCTTCCTGTTGCTCCACGTAGCTGGTGTCTGAGCGCAGCCACATGTCACCGGAGCTCTGGGGTCCTCACTCAGGGGTCTTCCAAGGGCAGAGCAGCTTCCACCTGGAGAGAAGCCCCTCCTTGTGAGTAGCAGGCAGGTGTCCAGCTAAGGAGCGTGGCCTCTACAAACATTTTGTTGCAGAATTCCAAGGCACAAGAGCAGAGCGACCAAATGGGAATGGGGAGGATTTATTTAAGGCAAACATTGGCTTCATCAGACTCATGTTCCAAGACTGAGCAATTAAACAGAGAAAAGTTCTAGTTTTTATGCATTTAGTCAAAGGGAGGTTGGTCTTTCTAGTGACCAAGTAAGTGAATTTACTGGAGTAGGACAAAGGCACATAGTTTGATAATTTAGCCTTGTCAGAAGACAGTGTCTTATGAATTGTACGAGAACAGAGTGTCATAAACTTTGTTTTCAGAACATAGTTGTTTACGGGACATACAGTTCCTCCAGGGTTGCAAAACTTTATTTACAGGAAATGACTGTCTACCTTATGAGGTACCAGGGGAGCTCAGTAGTTGGGGGCGGGGGGCAGAATCTGAGTGGAGAGCTGCTAGATTGGCTTCTGGTTCTGATTTTCTTTTAAATTCCGCTTTAATTTCACCGCCCTTTAAAACGCAGTCGGCCAGGCCTGGTGGCCCACACCTGTAATCCCAGCATTGGGATGCTAAGGCAGGAAGCAAGTTCAAGACCAACCTAGATTATGTAGCAAGACCCTGTCTAAAAAAACAAACAAACAAATAAACGAAAAGGAAAACCAAAAGGAAGGAGGGAAGGAAGGAAGGAAGAGTATAGCAGTGGGAGGGCAAAGAAGAGCCTTCCCTTACCTGAAATAGAGAAGTCTGGGTATTTGGGCAGTGGTCCTTCATGGTGTAAAATTTTGGGAGAAGCAGTAGGAGGTTGTGTAGAGCCACCTCCTTGTAATCTAGAGTAAGAACACAAGTCAGGAGGTTATTTCTTTTTTCATTTTTGTTTTTTTGTTTGTTTGTTTTTTGGTACCAGGGATCATCAGTCTTGGAACCTTGCACCTGCAAAGCAGGCAGCAGAACAACTGAGCTAAATCCCTGGCCCCAGGAGCTCATTTCTTTTAATGATAAAATAAGAATCAATATCATACATGCAGGTGCTGGGAGAGTATGATTGATATACTTATTTCTAATTCGTACAGTTTAGCCTAAAGGTTAGAATTATTGTCTCCATTTCATGGGAGAGGAAGCTGAGGCCACAGGAACCAGACCATGCAGTGTCCTGGTAGCACCTTCTGCCTCCTCCTCCGTGACAAGGTGGCCCTATTGGTTTTTGCTCCCACCCCATCCTACGGCAACTCCCCCATAGGGGCGCTGGGGGAAGCTGAGCACAGGTGGAGAGCAGAGCAAGGCAGTGACACGTGACTAGTCACACCCAGGACAGTCTCGGTGTGCACCTGGGAACCCCAGCCAGCTCCGCTCTGCTCCTCTCAACGTGCTCCCTGTGGCGGTGACCCGAGCCGCACTTACTTCTCATAAGATTTCTGACGTGCCCTGGTGGCCCGCTCCTTGATGTCCAGGAAGTCTCTGTAGCAGTTTTTGGCCATGACCGTGTACCTTGTGGCACAGCCCAGCTCGGTGACCCTGGCTCGGGGCAGAAAGCCTGCCCAGCCAGGGATTGGGGGCTCCTGGGGAGGTCTCTTCATATTCTTGCATTCTGTAAAGAGACACCATGCTTCCTGGAGGCTTTGGAGAGCTGCAGAGTGAGCAGAGCCCACAAGCCCGCTGGGGCCCCATGCCTGCACTAGGCCTAGGCAGGTAATAGGGCAGAAGACCCCGTGGAAGGTGGTGCTGTGTGTCAGGCGCCTGGGAAAGGGCTTTACAGATCAAATCTCATCTCATTTTCCCACCGCTGTTCCCTCCAATGTATGGAGGAAGAAACAGATTCGCCAGAGGTTCAGAGGGACTCAGCCAGGGTCACAGGAACAGGGATTGGTAGGGCCACACTCAAGCCCAGTCTGTCTGAGTTCTGTGTCCTCGCTCTTAAACAGACCCTGCTTCTCTCTCAGGCTGGTGAAAAAGCCACCAGCGTCTTTCTGTGATGCCTTAGGTAGTGGAGGAAAACGAGAAGCACTGGGGAATTGGGAGGAGAAAACACATCAGACTCAGCTGTACCAGGAACCTGCTTTAGGTCCTCACTATGACTCTGGCTGGCTGGGTGACTGTGAGCCAGTTTCACAGTCCCTAGTGTCTCCTCTAGTTGCTGTAAAAACTGAATTAGGCCACTGAGTCCCAAAGCCTCAGAGCCAGAAGTCACTCTAAGGAGCATCTAGTCCCTGCCCTAGACAAAGAAACTGGAGCCCAGAGAGGGGCAGCAAGCTGCCTTAGGTCACACAGCAAGTAGTTACAGAGCTGGGCTAAATCCCAAACTTAGGCAGCTATTCTTTGCCATATTTGAAAAATTTAAAGCACAGCAACCATGTAAATTTCGTATGTTCTTGAAAAGTCCCCCCAAACAATTATAATAATAAAGGCATTCAGGCTATTACTTTCTTCATAGGCCTTTTAGACTTTAACCTGGGTGAAATCATTGTTGTGTCTATGATATAATGACGTCATCAGTGTTGTCATTGTTTTTGTTCGGGACAAAATTCCCCCTGCAGAACTAGTACCCAGAGGAGCTGCCTGCAGCCGCACACTGACATGGGCACACACAGAAAGCAACTGGATGCTGGCATCAGTGGACCCAGACACTGAAGGCTGGCAGGGCAGCTTGGAGACCCAGCTCTGAGCTCTCAGAGCAGGGCTCCTACCTGGCCAGGCCTGCCAAAGAAACTGAGCTTTCCTTTGCACACAGTGCTGGGGATCTGGAGCAGCGCTGGATTCTGCGCTGTCCGCGGCTGGCCTGCTGGGGTGTGTGCCAGGCACCAGGGCCAAGGGAAAGCTGGTTTCGGGCGCTCGTACCCAGAGTCAGGGGGTGGTATCGCCGGGCGTATTCATGCAGTGCCCGCAGGACCGTCTCCTCGGAGCAGATGGGTTTCAGCTTTGGGGCGGTGGCCACGGAGCAGCGCAGTTCCTCCAGCTGGTCTTTGTATCGCTGCGTGCTCTCCTGGAAGCTCTGCAGACAGCGGTTCATGCTGTCCTCACTGGAGGTGTCCTGGCAGCTCAGGAACGGCACGAAGCCTGCAAGACCCGGTTGAACCGCAGCCTTGAGTTAGGAATTGGGACCCTGCCTCAAATCCCCACCTTCGCCACCTGCCTTTTGGCTTCCTCCCCAGCCAGCCCCACTGTATTTTTCCAAAGGCCATTAATACAGGCAGTGCTGCTGTTTCCACTGTGGTTGGGCCTCCCAAGGCCATGAAAAATGACCTTGGAGTTGGGGAGGGAAGGCCCATTTCAACAAAAGCGACGGCAGTCATAGTCTTTGATAGCACAGCCCCTGATGTCAGCGTGAACAGCAAATGGGGAAAGCATTAATGGGCCAAAATGATAGTCTGAGGAGTAATTGAAATTATTTCTCTTTTTAGAGCAAAAGCTTATTTCCCTTGACACTTCCCAAATGCAATTTGGGATCTTTCTTGCTGGACCATGGGGAAATTACAGGCTTATTAAAAGCAGAGACATATTACACAAAAAGGTAAATTCATTATCTGTAAGACCCACCCCTAGGACAATTTTTTCACCATTTCCCACACAGTAACATATAATCATTACAATTAGTATGGGTAAAACACAACTGTATTTAAACTGGATGCAGAACCCTAAGTACTGTAATATCGTCACAATAAAACCGCTTTTCCAGAAGAACAATTGATGGACACTGGTTAAGAACTTAGTTTAAACTGCAAAGTAAACAAACAAATACCTTTCAGCATTACAGCCCAACATTTTTGCTTTTGTCCCTACAGATAGAAAACCTAGCCAAAGGACTGAAAGCAGCAACCACCAACCCTGTACCAAGCCATCACTGGAAGAGTTTTAGGATGGGAACTAAATCCAATGATTGGTGTCCTCATGAATGAGAAGAGGAGACTTTGAGTCGTGTAGACTGGAGTGATGCTGACACAAGCCAGGGGCCACCTGGAGCCCCTGGAAGCTCGAAGGGGTGACGGAAAGGTCCTCCCCTAGAGACTTCAAAGAGAACATGGCCCTACTGACACCTTGATTTCAGCTGTGTAGCCACAGAACAAGGAGAGAATATGTTTTTGTTGTTTTTAGTCAGCTCATTTACGCTGACTGATTACAGCGCCCCATGAAACAAGGACATCCATTTTATAGGATTTGTTTCCCTTACCGTGAAGAGGTAAGTCGCCGACAGTCACTTAGAGAGTGGCCATGAAGAGGCTTGACCTGAATCTGAGTGTTCCCTTACCTAGGCAGTAGGACCAGGTCGAGGCTAGGACCTTGGAATACTCACAGGCAATCCTGCCCTCAAAAGTAGCTGTGTGTGAGTGTGCAGGGCACGTGGGGCAACATGGATTTGTCATCCACAAGTATGTGATGCAGAAAGTTCTCAGTGGCCCAGAAGCCTGAGGAGAGAGTCCTTAGGAAGGGTGACCAGTGGCCCTTGTCTGCCAAGGACTAGGGGGATCCTGGACATAGAGTGCTATAGCCGGCAAAGTTCCCGAAAAAAAAATAGGGCAATTGGCCACCCTCCCTTTACAAGATGCAGGAAAGAACAAGAACACGCGGCCGTCCCTGGGGGGAGCCTTGAGAAGGTCCGATCACAGAAAGACAGAGCCCGACTTTATTCACTATCAATCGTCATAGCACTCTGTTATCCTTGCTGAAATTCACCCAACTTGTTGGAAGCACTTCCAGCATGCACATCGCAGAGTTCTGGTCTACGTTCTTTCTCTTCACTTAGCAGAGCCCAGCTATCGGCACCCGTGTTTTCAGACTATGTCTTAGAACCTGAAGCACCTGCACTAATCCGATGCGCATGGATACGGACAGTGGGCCAAGGCAAGGGCAGAGACCGGGACCATGCTCTCTGTGCTGCCACTTACCACTGTAGCCTGGTGTGATCGGCAGCTGCCTCATGAAGACCTTGGGAGACTCCATGATTTTCCTCTCTGTTAATAAAGGAGGGAAAGAAACAGCCTTATCAAAAATTCCTGCCTCAAACACTTACCACATGCATGCCAGAGAACTTGGGAGCAGAAGAATGACTTGTCAGGGGCTGAGACTGAGGCAACACCGCCACATCTCAGCCGAAGCCAACAGAGGGAGATGGGTTCCGTTAGAAGGGACATAGGGATCATCACCTTTATGCTAGCTTTGATGGCAGATGTACATACAAGTGAATGTCTCCCTTCCCTGGCAGGTTCCTCCCATCCATCCGTCCAACCATCCATCCATCCAACAGCCGTGAACTATATCCATACTATAGCAATAAATGTGACAGCAATTGAGGCAATAAAGATAAGCAAGACCCAGGATCCCCATATAGGGCTCATAAACTTTTATGGAGGAGAGAGATAAGGTACCCACATCCATACACCTCTTTCTTTATGTGGTGATAATTTTTGCCAACACTTCCTTTGCCCCCAGAACATCTGACAACATCTGGAGATATTTTTGATTGTTGTAAGTGGGGCACGAGCTGTACTGGAATCTAATAGGTAGGATGCTGCTAAGCATGCTGCAACATACAAGAAAGCCTCACGACAAAGAATCAGAATAAGTTATGGCTTGAAGGGATCAGAAGGTCCCAACAAGTTACCATGGCACCCAAAGGGCCTAGCAGAGGGTATGGGGGTCCCGTACCAGTTTCTGTGGATGTTCTCCTTGGAGAAAGACCTCTTCCTACCTCAGGGATTGCCAGTGGTGTCCCCACCCCAAATAAGCCAGGGTCTGGCTCTGAATCCTGTGGATGCTGCCATCTCCTGTCCTGCTAACTCAGTTTGTCTCCATGAAGCAGTGTTCTCAAGAGATGAGGCGTCTGGGTAGAAGGGAGGGCCACAGTCCTGGGCTGTCGACAGTGATGAGAATTGCTAAAGGAATTCAGCCCCACAAAGGCAGGAACAGCAAGACCAGGACCACCTCTAGGCTGATACAACCCCTGGCATCAGGTGCCTGGATCCTGCGAGCAGGCGCTGGCTCTAGAGTCAGGCAGACCAGGCTGCGAATGTGTGCCCAGCATCACTGACCTCTGCTGACCAAGAATAGCTCTCAAAGCCTTCCACACACTAATTTAGCAAACCCTCCCAATAGCCCCAAGACATCCCCATTTCCAGGCGAGGGCTCGGCATGTACAGAAGACTGGGTATGCAGTCATGGCTTAAGGAACTGCTCTCCTCTAATCGCCAGAGCTTCCCCAGGTGTGAGTACCCAAGCTACAGATAAGAAAACTAAGGCACAGTGATATTCAGTAATTTGCGTGAGGGTTCTGGAGTGAAGGGGAAGTGAATGGGTGATTCTAACTCTCAGGGACAAGATGTGCTGCCCAGAAGTGTGAGTCTAGGGTGGGACCTAGAGCCAGGCCTGCCTGGAGAAGGTGGGCAGGGGAGAGCATACAGCCATAGTGTCCTGGGGGAGGGAGGCCAAACAGGACACAAATCCTTCCCCACCCACCCCTGCCCAACTCACTTGCTCTCAGCTGGGTGCTTGGATCACTGCCCAGCCTCCTCCCGGTCTCCAGGCCTCCACCAGCCTTTGTGAGCTCATCCAGGGCGGGGCACAGCACGGGGCCCCGGAGTTCCCCCTCCCCTTCTCCTTCAGGGTCCCCTCAGAACCAGGAGGAAGGTCCCAGAGGAACTTGGGCCAAGTAAATTTGGGGGTGCTTCCCCATGAGCCCCATTCAGCCCAGCCCCAGGTGCAAATCCAGGCATCTGCCCAGTGCACACCTGGCCTCAGAGCTCCCACACGCCCATCTCCCAGGGTGGCGGTGGTGGGGCCTGCTGTGAGCATGGACATTGAACACACGGCAGAACAGTCTCTGTTACAGTCTCCACAGCGGGTGGAATGGTGGTAACTGAGTCCACCCAAAGGCAGGGCTGCATGCGGGCCAGCAGGAGCCAGAGAAAGCTTGTGAGGGGAGTTGAGGCCTTGTGTCCATGGTGATTTCCAAGTACAGGCGCTTCCCTACGCCTAGCAATCCACCCCCTGAAAATTGAGCCCAGGATCTTCACACTGTGCTATAATCCCAGGTTTTTAAAATTTAATTTTGACACAGTATCTGAATTGCTAATTTTCTGAGTGGGCTCAAAGTTGCCATCCCCACCTCAGCCCGATTCTGCGATTACAGGCATGTGCCACAGTTAGGCAGCCCCTGCCACTCCCCTTTGTGTCTCCTATTTGAGAAGCTAGATTTTTCAGGAGCCCAGGACATGTAAAGAAGCGATGTACCAAAATGAAGTCAGGCTGGGGAGGTTAAGTCATACTTCTTTCTAGCCGTCTTCATTTCATAGGAGCAAAGGAGGCCCCAGGATTTATCTCACTAAACTGAAACCCACCACGATGCCACTGTAAGAACCCAAAACACAGGGAACATATGATGACCTTGTAGACAGATAGCTGCGGCTCCTGCCTTTCTGGAGAGGGTAACTGAAGCCTGGGGGCACTGGACCTCACCTCAGGTCATCTAGAAGATTCTAGAGCCAGCTCAGAGGGTACTGCAAGGCAAGAGTCTGGAAGGCTTTGGACAACCAGTTTCACGTGTCTATGGTGCCAGAGGGCAAGGAACCAGCCCAGCTTATCACAAATTCACATGACATTCAGTTGGGTGCAGCAGAGTAGGCGCCCTACGTATCTACCTTCTCCCTGCCTATCTGACCACTTTCTTCCCGCTTGAAGGGATAGAAGACTTGGTGAATACCAACAGAGCCCTGCTTCCCAGCAATGCAAGGGATTGTCTTATCGAAGTGACTGTTAATAAAATACATACTACCTGTGAAGGGTCCTGGATATTAAGTCTCCACCGGAGATAGGGGGGGGGGGTCGGTAATGATCTGTTTATAAAGCTGCTCACAAATCCAGAGTTAAAAAAAAAATTCAGGGCCACGTGAGATCCAGTTTTACTTTATTAGACATCTGTGACAAGAGAGTTTGCAGATGATCCTGTCCAGTTGTGAACTGCTGCAAAGTTCTGTGACATTTGGATTTATCCTGTAGTGAAGAAGACCCCCAGTGGCAGAGATTTCGGAATATTGTTCCAAGTTTCAAGCAAATGAGAGGTGTTAGTGACATTGTGGCCAACAACTTTTATACTAGTCATCCACTTAAGCCATTCCCCAGCATACATATTCAGCTTAATCACAGCGATTACATCTCTACATGTGAAATTCGATCTTCAACTAATAATGCATTTTGACTCCTGTTTATATTGGTGCATGCGATTCATTGCTACCTGGCAATTAACCAGACCTGGACTCTAAAAGCTAAAACTTGGTCTAAATAACACTCTAAGGGTGGGGCAGGCTCTGTAATCTAGACTTATTTTAGGCGTCAATCTGCAAAATCACACGGCTTCTCCTCTGTCGTGTCTGTCTATAATCGGTCACCCAGCATGCATTGATACCTGCTGTATACATAAAAGGCAGGCAGGCACAAAGGAAACCAACAGCCCTGCTTCCAAGAAAGGCAACTATCAGATAATATCCCAAGGGCAACTGAGTAATTGGTCAGGACCACAGACCTTCTGGACAGTTTCTAAGATAGGGATATGTCCAAGTATATTTATCCAGTGCTTATTCAAGAGTATCTCAGTGAGGGAAAGGGATGGATTTGAGGATCTTGTTTAAGGAGTTTGACTCCTTAAAGGGCTGCATCTTTGGGGCCAGAAGAAAATCCAGAAAATTATCCACCCTGTCCATCACCAATTTGTCAACACGGCAGATTTCTATAAGGTCATTTAAGAGAAACAGTAGGCAGAGAATGGCCCTTAATGCATTGCAGGAAGCATATTTCACTAGCAGGGAATGAGGGGCTTGACTATTACTCACACTTACGCTCAGCCCAACAGAAAAGCTTGGTTTATGTATCACTTGGTTCCTTCCTTTGACCCTGGCGTACACAATGGACCAAGCTTTGTCCTCAGAAGTGACGGCTTTGCCCCATGAGGAGATAAGAACCCCACCCGATGTGAAGTGTTTTCACAGGTTTTTCCACACAGTCACATTGCTTGCACAGCCAGAATGTTCAGCTCTTCAAGTACGGACAGGCGAATCGGTGCGTTCTATGTTCCCTTAACCATCATCACCTGGGACTCTTTGGGAAGGGTCAACACCTGCAAAGGTCCAGTGATGCTGGTGATCCATGTTCAGAGTATTCTGATCCTAGGCACCGCTGTCTAATGCTCTGCCTCGAGTACACAGTCCATCACGCGTTATCAGCACACATTGAGTGTTAGTGACAGCAACTTAGACATGAAACTGGAAGATTATGGGCAGCGGTATCAGCAACAAAAATTAAAAAGCATTTTCCTTTTTTTTTAAAACAAAAGCACGCTGTAGAAATAAAGATTCTGTACAAGATTCTAATATTGTATGTACATAAAATTATATTACTCATAACTGAATCGAAAAGTTTTATTCGTAGACTATGGCTAGTAACACCAGATAGGGACCCGTGACACTGACACAGAGCGGGCAGCAGGAGACCCCCAGCAATTACACCTCGGTGCCTGAAGGCAACCACAGCTGAGCTGTAGGACTCACATTCCTTAGTTCTGTGTTTTGTTCGCTTTACATTGTAGCAGAAAATTCTGCAGCAGGCGATGTGAAAAAGAAGACACGCTGAAACGAGATTTGCAATGCTATTTAAAAATCTGCATATTGGCTATGATAATGGGTTTGTGAATCCAACTTGCATTGGAAGTTTGTTCTTGCATTCCCTGCTCATTCATTATGCATGCCTCCAGTGATTGGAAAGCGGAAAGAATTCCAGCAGGTGGAGAAGACAGCTCTGAACAGATCAGACGGACTGAGTCAGATCCTTGAATCTTTATCCTCAGTCCGCTCCTGAAGGTTGGCGGAAACAGGCGAGAAATGTAGTCACACTTCTTCAGCCAGCCCTGTTCTCAGGTCTCATTTCTTACCATCTTTTCCCTCCTCAGAACCCTCCTGTAAGGGTCAAAAGGGCCCTCCCCAGGCTGCTAGTTGGGGCCCCAGCTCCACTCCCTGAGAGGAAGAGGTGTGAGGTGAACCCTCCTCCCTGAGGGATCTCTGACTGATGAAAGAATGGAGGGCACCGGCTCTGCCCTGTGCTTCAGCTTTGACAAAACCTAGAGCTAGTAATGCTCAGTTTCCAACTGAAGCACAGTCACTTGTGATATAGACAGAAAGGGCAGACTCTGGTCTTCTTCTTCCTAGTTAGCTTCAGTTAAAAAGAGATAAGATCCAGGAACCTGCTCTTAACAAGCACCCAGGCAATTCTGTGAGCCACAGATTTGCTTTAGGAAAAAAAAAAAAAAAAAAGCCCAGCTGAATCCATCAAGTACCAATCTGCACATTTATTGTGGAGCAGATTTGAAAATGAAAGTTTAATGAAGCATTTCATGGAGCAGATTCTACTTTCATACTTCGCTAGTGCATCCCTTTCACAATGTGGAAAGAAACAGCCAAAACTCAGGGAGAAGAGGAAGAGCAGGAGGAAGGGGTTCATTTAAAGTCGGTGTGTTTGTCAAGGCAGGGGCTATTCTAGCCTCTCGCGTGATATGTAAGAAGGGTGACCTCGTTTTCTCACACTAAATTCCTACCAGATGAACGAGAATTACTTGTGAAAATCACGCCTTGGCATTCCAGACATTATATCCCAACATAGGCAGTAGCTTCTCCGTACCCAGCTTTACTTTCTGTGGATTCAGCTAACCACAGTCAACCAATGGTCAAAAATACAGTACAGGATAAGAGGATATTCTGAGAGAGAGACTACATTCATACAAATTTTATTATAGTATGCTTTGTAATTGTCCTAGTTTTATTATTAGTTATTGTCAATCGTCTCTCGCTGGACCTAATTTATAAACTGTACTTTCTCATAGATATGTAAGTATAGAAAAAACACAGAAGCGACAGGGTTCCATACCACATGTGGCTTCAGGCTGGGGATCTCGGCCTGGGTCCCCACAGATAAGAGGATACGACTGTAATTTGGGATAAGTCTGCTCCTTAAAATCTATTTCCATTGCAACAAACTTTTACCTTCTAAAAAGACGAGGCATTACCATTCCTACTCCCCCAAATCCCAGTGGGTCAGCCAAGGCTTCTTTACCAAACCTCCTCGGAATTTAAATTATACGAGAACCTAAAATAGTGCCCCGTGTAGGCAGTCTTCTCCCACCAGCTGAAATCACTCCAAGCACCCACTGAATCACCACTGTAATCCCATGATGATGGGAAGAAATTAACTACAGATGGGTGGCATTTTCTATTGACTACTCTCCAAAAAAAATTCAAAGAGATCTCAGATGAAGAACTCCTTCTGGCTCAAAACTCTTTCAAATCTAGAAAGATGGCAGAAGAACTCCTTCTGGCTCAAAACTCTTTCAAATCTAGAAAGATGGCAATAGGGCATCCCTAAATCCTACTTAACTGAAATGTGTTCAAAGCAAAGCTTGACTGCTGCTTCAGAAAAGTACAGATTCCCTTGTCAGGCGGATGGGTCACCACTCCGCTACCTATGAAAACTAGCTGCTCTTCGAGGGTACTTGAATTTCCTATTTCCACACCTACATCTCCATTTCTGACTCTTGTTCTGACTACAACAAAATCTCCAGGTATTTCTCGCCCTGCTTCTTCCCATGTTTCCTGCTGAAATTCAGGCGGGCGAGGGCAAGGGTCAGGTCCAGGGAGAGCGTCAAGGGTGAGGTCAGCAACGCAGATGATCTGAGTCCAGGGGTGGGGTGGGGAGGGGCGGCTAGTAATTTAAGAAGTCGATCCCCACTTTGACGCTCTTTGAGGTGGCGACATCCACGGCCGTGGCCTTGATCTCGGTGTCCCCGAATTGCATGAGGGTCTGGATTTCCCTCCGGGCCGGCACCGCTGTGCCGCTGGTCCCCGTGAGATCCAGGCGGAGCGTGCCACACTTCTTCACCCCCGGGTCAGTGATGAAACTGACACCGTCGTGCTCAGAGCTATAGATGTTGATGACAATGACGAGCTGGGAGGGCTTAGCTGGGGTGTAGCTACGCTTGACCAGCTCCCCCAGGGCCACAGATTGGTCGGCGGAGATGAACTTGTCGAAGACATCGGTGCACCAGCGAGTGCCGTCCTTCACCAGCAGCTTCTCAGGCGGGTGCTTGCCCTCCACATACCGGTTCAGCACACCCACCCCGTAGGTGAGCGGGGACCGGCGCACCTTGATCACGGCGGGGTCCAGGCCGAAGAGGACAGCTCCCTTGAGGATAGTGAGGCCCACGTCTTGGGGAATGATGATCCGGCACTTGTCGCCGAAGGCAGTTTGCACAGCCTGCTGCAGGAGGGGCGCCTCGGCAAAGCCGCCCACCAGGAAGAGGAACTTGACTGTGGATACCTCGGGCTTCTGAAACAGGTCCCCTGAAAGGAAGGGGAAGGGAGAAGGTCATGTCACCAAAACCCAGCAAGCAAGGGGAATGGGGCTGCCTGAGTCTGTGGGGAATGGACAAAACCACCTGAGCCAACTGGAGATCTGAGTTTGTTGAACCAAATTTTGCACTGGTCTTTTGAAGAGAGGAGTTTTGCAGCCAGTGTGCTCAGAAATTAAGGCAAAAGCTGCTACTAAGTAGAATCCCATTTTAACAGTGAGGTGGTGAGCATGTTAAGAAGAATTTGTTATGCATAAAAGAATATTCTCCAAACCTGTGATTCTGTTGAGTAAGGTGGGCTGTTATAAATAAGGTGCTCTGGCTTTCATAAAAATCTCACCCCACCCCGAGGCATTCTGATTTGGTAGGTGAGGGATGGAGAAGGATGAGGGGTTTGGATACTGGAAAATGTCCCAGGGAGTCACTGTGTGTCCTCAGGTGAGGGCCACTGACTCGGCAGGACGATGGCACGACCACATTCTGTTTCTCCTCATGCTGGGGACTTTCCTTTGGTTCACAGGACAGTTCCTTCTCTTCTAGCAGGAAAGGTTTCTAATTTTGCAATTGAGATGTATGCCCTGGGGCTGTGCTCTAGGATGATATGGCTTTAGCATTCCCAACCTTTTCAGGCCAAAGTGAAGCCCAGGTGAGGACAGGTTCCCCAGGAGAAGGGTCCAGGGCCTGCCCTCAGCAACCCCCCTCACACGTGCCCAAGCCCCACCTGCTCCTTCAGGTCCCCTGTGCCCTCTGCCGATACAACTGCATATGTACTGGTTGGTGACAGAGGGCAGGTCGGTGTTCATTCTCAGCTCTGCCCCATCACGTAGCCAAACCCTGGAGGATACTTACGAAGGTGCTCAATAATACTGTCAATGGTCGGCTTGAAGAGGGCATTCATGGCATCGGGACTCATCCGCAGCATCCCCTGGGAGGACCACTTCACAAAATCCACGCTGTGGAAGGATGGCACAGAAAGGAGCCAGAAATGAGTGTCTGCACGATACCAGGGTTATCCACACAGCAGCGCACCGAGGCTGGCGGAATGTCTGTCACGTCACTGGGGCAGGAAGGGCTTTCGAGATCAGAAACCCCAAGAAATCCCCAAATTGCCAGGATCTGGACCTCTGAAGCTCAAGACTAAGACATAACCTCTTGTGTCTCATCTTTGGTGCTAAGCTGCCCCTGGGATGGTCAAGTGTAGCACAAGAGATGGGGTATAAATAGAAGGATCTCTTCGTCTTTTGAAGGACTCGCATTTTGAATCCAGTGGAAATTGGATGCAAGCATGTTAAAGGCTTGTGTGATGCACTTTTTGTTTGTTTTTGGTTTTTTTGAGACAGGGTCTCACTATGTAGTTGAGACTGACCTAGAACTCACAGCCTGTAGCCCAGGCTGGTCTTGAACTCACAGCGATCCTCCTGCCCCAGCCTCGTGAGTGCTGGGATGACAGGCGTGCGCCACCACGCCTGGCTAAGATGCACTTTTGTACTGCCATATAGGAGACAAACGTGTAAGCGGTTGGATCGCAAGCCTCCGGGCACGCGTTGCGTGACAGGGATACGCCTAATCCTCCTGGATGGCCTCGCCATCTCTATCCAAGACACCGCGTGTCCAGAGGCAGCAGGGTAGAGCAGGGAGAGCACTGGGCAGGGAGCTGCCATGGTTGGATTCTGCTGTCTCTGAGCCTGGTCTTTCTCATATGCAAGTCAAGGAGAATAGCACTTGCCTTACTTCCCTCTCAGGGAAGGTTGTAAGGATCCAGTTAAATGCCACGTCTGTTCCAACACTTGGGAAATGTTTAGCACTAAACAAATATCATGGGCCATTTATTGCTCAAATCCGCAGGACGGACACTGAAATTCAGGGACCAAGCAAGTGGTGCCTCGGTCCCTGACGCAAAGCACACAGTGGGTGCTTCCCAGCAACAAGACTTGACCTGCCAGCTCTCCCCAGCCTGGACTTCTTTCCATGGCACAGGCCAAGAGATAATGAGGTGCTGTGTGAGTGCCCCCATGATGGCTGTGGCCAGTTTCCTCGCTAAGAGAGTTAGGAGGTCCCAGGAACCGTGCAGGTGGGACTGGGGGGTCAACCTGGCAGGCAGGTGCTCTGTGTGGGAGCTTGGCAAGAGGATCCAGAATCAAATCTACTCTGTTTCCCTCTAAAAGGAACCAGGGATTCTTAGAGAAGTGGTTGATTCCGGGTCTAGGGTAGGGAATGCACAAGATGAGCCAGAAGTGCCCTCATGTACCAGAAGGCAAAGGCATCGCCAGAGACTACTTATACCATGTCGAAGGGACTCAGGGACAACCTGAAGAGGGTCCTACTGTCCAAACAGGACAATCTGAGCACTATCAGTAAGAATACAACGGGCATGATTTAAAATACATCAAACATGCTAAGTCCCTGAATTCTTACTAATAGTCTCCTTGTTCTTCCACAAGATAAAGCTCATTAACTACACTGGATGATGCTAGGAAATAAATTTTTTAAAACTTAACATTGGAGAGAAATTACCAACCGCTGTCCTCTTTCCTTTATGAACTACACTCCAGGGTAACCAAGTCCTTTGGGAGAAAACTGTCTCTACAGGAGGATTCCAGCTACACTAAATGAAGAGGGAAAGTTTAAGATGAGAATCATGTGGCCACCCTGGCTGAATTAATGGACGTAGGCAATGATCATCAGTGGCTGCCAACATCACAAAAGAAGAGGCAAGCAGACATTAAACGTCCCCATATGAAACGGCAGGAAATACTGCCACTCATTTGCCAAAAACTCAACCTTGACGCCAATTAAATCTCTAAGTCAATCTACCAATTCGCAAACACGTATCAGGAGACAGAAGAACATGTTATGAGACACCGTGGGGATTTAGGGAGCAAGACCCAGGCTGAAGGAAACTCCTATAATCCACCAGTTTTGTCATCGAAATCACTGTGAAGGAAAAACGGGAGGGGAAGCTATGGATTAAGTAGGATCTGAGAGGTCTACCAAGTAACTGCACTGTTCAGCTTGCCTTTGGGCGATGACACAAACCGGGAAAAACGTATACAAGACAACTGGAAAATATTTTAATGTTATTAAACTGGACATTTGATGATATTAAATAATTATGAAATTTGAGTGTGATAATGATATTGAGGTTATAATTCAAAATTGACCTCTTTTAGAATCACAGGCTAAAATGTATATGGCGTAGGTGATCATCAATCTGAGATTTGCTTTACAGTAATTGAGGGGAGGTGAAATTGAGATTGGTAGCAACTGACAGTTATTGAAGCCAAATGATAAAGCTGCAGTTTCCTTTATAGAAAAGTTATTAGAAAGAGGTCACTATGGATGTGATAGGTATGCACAATTGACTGATTATAGTAATATATTTCTATGTTTATCAAAAATAATTTTTAAAACTCTTAGAAAACTATGATTTTTTTCTATTAACTTCAAAAATTCAGCTCTAGCCTATCTTCCAAAGTACTGATTTTGCAACAAACTGAGCTACAAACACTTGCTTGCAGCCAAGGGACTCAGAGTAGCTGGAAACCCAGACTCCCATGGACTCCAGTCCACAAATACTTGCTGAGTACCTGCTATGTGGCGGGCTCTTTTTGAGATGCTGGCCAGTGGCCAAACCCAACACCCTTGCTTTCTTTAGAAAGCTTTTTATTTTTCAGTAACACATAGATCACTCTTCCCAAGTCGCAGGTACTGGGTTAAGCACCTACCATACATGAATTCAAGAATTCATGACTTCATTACACCCTCACAAGAGCCCTTTGGGATAAGAGGAATTATTGTCCCGGTCTGCAGATGAGAACTGTCCTGACTCTAAGTGAGCCCAACTCACTTGCTCTTCCTCAAGGCGTGCTCCACGCTGTGCCCTCGGAACTTCTTGTAGTAGTCGATAAAGGAGAACGGCAGGGTGATGTTCAGTGGGTTGGTTCTGTCTGGGGCAGCTGCTCTTTTGCGAGACTCAAATGCGATCATTAAGTCAACCCAGGCTGCAGGTCGTTTGATTTTGAATTGCTCGATAAAATCTTCTCCAAAAATTTTACACAGAAGTTTTTCAAATTCATAATCTACTCCCAAGGATCCGTAGGGTCCACCTGAATTGAGAGTGAAATGGGAACCCAAGATGTTACAAACATCCAAACTGTGGATCCAAACTGAGAAACAGGCCTCCCCTGTGTTCTCCAAAGCACAAAGAAGTACAAACTCGGGCCTCCTTAGGGAGCAGGCTGCAGGTCAAGATTTTCATTATCACTTCAGCACCCTTAGCTTCTTCCCTTTCCATGAAGAGAAACTTTTCCTACAGGAATCTCTTATCGACAGCCTGTTCAAAATCAATTACATTTCAAACAAGATTAATACATTCAGCAAACGAGGAGCACTGTGGTGTTGGCACCCAGGAAATCCAAGGGCAGAGTCTGGGCCATCAATGGGCCTCTCCAGTCCCTGTGCACATATTAGCTACGCACTGTCCTTCTCCCTTCCTCCCTGAAGGGAGAGAACATCTTTGGTCCAGCAGTCTTGACCCAAGACTAGGTGTTCTGAGACCTCCTAGAATGCTAGCATCAGCTCTAAATTGTGGGTGACAGCAGGTTACAACCGCATCCTTGCAGAATTTTCAGAAACAAAGTCCTTTGGCCAGGCTCACTTGCCACCAAAACTCCAGTGGCCTCTGTTGGAAGGAACATCTAACTGCATTTTGCTTTCCAGTTTCAAACAGGCACTGGTGTCCTCCACTGCCTACAATTCCACATGCCGGTAATACTGAGGAGGAGGGCTCTGAAGCGAGGGAGAAGGGGTCAGGGATGAGAAAGCAAGCTGTGCAGGGCTCACCTGTTGCTTTATACAGTTCCTTCAAGTGTCCCTCTGGTAACCGTATCTGATGGACTGTCAGGTCCACGGTGCCTCCGCCACTGTCCACAACCACATACTTGTCACCTGGTACGAAAACAGCCATTCTTTACACGGACCCCTGGTCAGCCCCATCTGAAACAAGCTTTGCGTGATAAATTTGGTACACTCGGCTAAGCACCACCAACACTGCTCATCAGCACCGTGGTTCTGCTCATTAGCAGCAGAGTGGGAAATTTACAACTAATGAGAAAGCAATCACGTTCGCCCAGGAGGACCCAGGTGTGTGAATCTTAAAGACAAAAGCGTTCCTGTCACACAGTGCTGCATACCTGGCACATCCCGTTACCTGCTGTTACCATAAATAAATTGTCTTTCTCTGGAAGAGTCTACGCGGCTTTGCAACATGTAAAACTGCAGCTCCCAAAAGGCCTCTTCCTGGGCAAAGGGCCTTTAAAACCCCACTGATTTGAACATTTTCCAAAAGTGCAAATGGAACAAATTGGAATGCATTTTTGCCAGCAGCATTAAAAAAAAAAAAATCCAGCAAGGGCAAAGGACATTCAAGGATGCTACCTTCCTCCAGCTCAGACCAGATTTCTCCTATGACATTCTCCACCAAAAAGGTCCGACTCTGTCGATTACGCCGTATGTGTTCCTTAGCTAGTGGCCGACAGGAAGAAAAGGATGACAGGTAAGAAAGCATGAAGAAGCGAACAGTCGTCTGCAGTCAGTGGAGGCAACAGCGTGAGGAAGTTTAGGGATGGAGCACCTACTGATGCTTAAGCCACACGATTAATACACACAACATTAGCAATCACAAAGACTGTCCTTCCAACAAAGAGGAGTGCTTTCTGCCCACCCTCATCTGTTATCTGCCTGGCAGTGCTGGCCTGTGCCCAGCTGAAATGCCAGCCCCGACAGATTCCTTCCCTCTGGTGACATTCTGAGGAATGGGCTAATAAAATCAGCCAATCTCCCAGCTTTGCTGCCCCAGGGAAGAAGCTGTGTGCCAAGCAGCCTGCAGTGCACTCAGCTAAGTAATTTCACGTCAAGGAACAGTTGTCCAACGCAAGGAATGTGGGGTATGTTTTTCTAATCTGGATCCTGGTTACATTGAGTAGGAGCCATTTCCTGCCTCTGTTGCTGTCAACGTTCTTTTTGGCCACAAGATGGCGCTTCAACCACAAGGTGGCATCTGAACGTGACAAAGGCCAGCACTGCCTTGATTGTACATTCTGGAGCCAACCTCTGCTTGAGTCCATATAATATCCCTGCTGTGGTTTGGGGTGCAGAGATGCATGTGAGGAGGGTAGGGCATAAATCACTGTCCCTCTATGCAGATGAGGAAACCAGCTCAGGCAGGGTGAAGGGCCTTGCAGTTCACACAACTTGTCTGGCAGCCCCAAATGAACCCTCAGACCATAAGCTCTCGTCCTCCTCATAGCCACCCCCAGGCTCCGACCACGAAGCAGACTACAGTATCTCAGGTGCTCCTCAGTAAGTGCTCCACAGGCTCCCCCAGGGTCCCTTCTTCCAATTAGAAGGCAGGGTTGACACCAGACCACTTGCCTCCCTGGCCCGTGGAGGGGTGGTGGCCAATTATTTGAAGATTTTAAAAAAACAAGAAGCCCCTCTGAGAACAAGCAGACAGCAGCAAATTCCACAGCCACAGGACACAGACACTGAGCGGCATGTGGGGAGACAGAGTATGCTAAAGAAGCGGAAACCCAAAACTAAACTCTCAGGGAAGACTGTCACTCCAAACCAGCTTGCCCCTAAAATGTGTGCATGCTACTTACAGAATGTGCAGAAGAGCTATGCTATAATTAGCTGATGCTGGTGTGAATTTCTATTTATGAACAACTGAGAATTAGCATGTAAGATACAGGCCTGATCTTCACATCCTCGATGAAAACAAATAGAAGAAAATATAATTTTCTAATAATGTTTCTAATATGTATATATTACCCCAAGTATTTAAAGCATTAATGCACTTTGATTTAGTTGGCAGTAAGTCCAGCCTCCACAGGCGTTAAGGAGGCTGAGCACTACTAGGAAAGTTCCTCCTCCCACCCTCAGATTCAAAGGGAGTCGTGTCTCCACTCGTTCCGGGCAAATCAGATTTAAAGTGCTAACACACGGCACCTGCCAGGAGAGGCTGTAACTCGGTGACAAGCAAACCTGCCACAGCCTGGCAGCTGAGGATTGTGGACTCCTTCCTAACTCTAAAGTGCCAAGAGGCAGCACTTGGGCTGGAGTTATCCCCGTAAGAAAGACCAAGAACCTACAGAAGAATGTGGTACAGGCAGGAACGCTCAGGGTGAGCCTAGGCCCAGGGCCTCCAGGAGCACGGGCTCAGCTTCGCGTGTGGGGACCCAGAGAAATTTGGGGACAAGGTTGCGGAAAGGAGGGAAAAGATCCTCACAAATGTCTTCCCTCTCCTCCTCCTGGACCTGGGCCTTCTAGGGCAGCCTGCAAGTGGGCACAGGAGACAGGGCGGTCTCTACCCTCTGAGCCTTCATCTGGGAACAGAACAGAGCTCAGCGCCATGGTACACGGTGTTCCCCCTTACGGACCCCATTGACGGTGGTGTTGGGGCCCTGACCTGGCCTGTTTACAAACTCTGGAGCCCTGGACACCAGGAGAAGAGTTCTAGGGACCGAGACTGTGACCAGCCTGCACGTAGGTCACTATGACAGAGAAGAAGCGCTGGTGTTTTTCTTCTCACAGCTAAATGAACACCCCTAGGTCAGGAAAAGTCAGCCCACTCCATCTGCGTTTTAAACTCCCAGTGAAGAGACATAATTAGCTCATTACACACACACACACACACAAAGCAGCCCCAGTGAGTCAGCAGTAAATCAACAGTCTTCATGGAAGAATTAATAACAACCAAATGGGATCAGATTAAGAATCAGTTTATAAGCAAGAAAGATTAAGAGCTAGCAAGGTGAAGGCCAAGAACTGCTCTCAGGCCACCGTCTGGTTCTTGGTGGGTGCTAAGCCAGGTAACAACTGTTTAGTTCATGGGGGCCCTCAGAGGGTCCGGGTAGGGGGCTGAACACAGAGGGGCTTCAAGCCAACCTCTTCCTGGAGCATCTTGATTCTTCCTTACAGGACTAAGTCTTACAACACTGTGAGAGGGAGAAACATCCGGGGCCTGGGAGAGGAAGAGCGGAGGGAGGGAGAGAGAGAGCAGAGGTACCCTGTGCAAACCCCGCTCCTACTGTGTCACTGGCGCTGTACCCATTGACCACCGCCTTGCCGCTCAGCTCGATCATCTGGTGCAGCCTCAGCTTCCGGCAGTAGATGGAGGCCGCCTCGGGCTCCAAGGCAATGATGAGCTGCTCCGAGTTCTCCGGGGAGGCCAGCCCCGCCTAAAAGAAAGCAGAGACTGGGACTCACTGTTCCCTGGGACCCACTCGGACACCCACGCCTCGGGCTGACCACTTACTCAAGCTTATGGGGGCCACTCCTTCCCCAGCCCTCAACACCAGAGCTCAACACCAGGGTGACCAGGTGCTGGGCCCCAAATTGTACAAGTACCCTACAGAAATACAAGGCTCTCTGGCCCATGGGTCTCTTGCACCTGGGGGTTGCTCAGCCCAGAACTAAGAGGCACTGAGGGAGAGGCAGAGAGGTTATGTACTTTGGGTGGGGTGGTGCACCGGATGGGGCTCAATTCTGAAGTGCAGGATGGGCAGAGTTGCAACAACCTGAAAACTCTGAAAATCAACACAGGGCAGAGGACAGGCTACCTATTCCCAGTGGCAGTGAGCCACGTGATCTGAATGAGCCGGAGAAGACCCCTGTCTTGGTGGACCCCAGCTGGGCAAGCATCTGACTTTGCAGTTCGGGGACCTGGGATGTTGTAGCCCTGGGAGGGCCCCTGCATTAGGTTGCTGGGGTGACATGGAAGCAGAGGCTCCTGGAGAAAGCCCCTCCTAGAACCCCAAGGAGCCCCTCATTTTCTGGAATGTGGGTTGACAGTCTGCTGAAAGTTATCTTATTCAAAGCCTTTATCCTTTTAATAAATTTGTATTATACATTTATCACATATAATAAATATTAGTAATATCCCCAAGTTCCCATCTGCAGCCTCTCTAAGCAAACATTGGAGGCAGAAACGCTTCTGCTCTGTGACATGTGCCCTGCCTCAGTCACAGCCTCTCTGGGCCCTGCCCCAGGACCACCCTTCTGAGGCGCTTAGAGCACTGGGCCTTGGCCTACAACTGGGTCCCTGCCTGCTTCCCACGGCCCTGGCCTGGAGCAGGCCTTGCTGTGCAGGCTACTCAGGTGATGGGATTTCCCTGGCCACCAGCACGGTGGAATCTACGGTGGTTCTTGTCACCATGCAGGACTTTGTTGCTGTTTCCTAGGGAACCTGGAGGTGCTGCCCTGGTCCCACACCCTCTTCGGAAGAGGACAACCCGAGCTGAAATGCGCTGGACTTTTCTCACAGATCAGGACAGAAGGACCCCTAATGTGGCACATGCACAAATAACTTCCTCACTAGCTGGGCTGGAGCATAGGCAGAGGGGCTTAAGCAGGGAAATGTGGGCAGGGACATGTGATGGAGTCAGGTGGGAATATCAGAAATGCCACGGATCTTCTGGGCTTCTCATTAAGTTCCTTCCCTTAGTGTAGAAAGATGCCCAGGCCCAAGGAGGTGATCAACCGTCAGGCTTTGCTGAGGACAAAGGGGTTTGTAGCATCGAGGACCTTACTGGGTGAGGAACAAGGAAAGACCATCTTCAAAGGAAAAGTACAAGCGTGTCTTCCAAAGTTCAGACTAGAAATCCTCGATGCTACAAACCCTGGAAGGTCCTCATAGTCTCACTTTGGATTTCTTCTTTTGGGAGTCTTGGGACTCGTGTTCAAAGGTTTCACCATTCACATATCCACATCCTATTTCGCTGGAGAGGGGAAGCTCAGCCCCAGGAAAGTCCCCAAGAACTCAGAGTAAAAGAAGACAAGCAAAGATCCTGACTACTCAAAAGCCGCCTCACGTCCCACTAAGGTATCGACTGACCAAATAGGCCCCTATGTGAGGACAAGAGCTGCTGAGCCTGGGTCATGGCAGGGAGGGAGAAAAGACTGGGTGTAAGTGCCCTGTTCCATACCCACCCTGTTCCTGAGATTCTGCACAAGAACTCAGACTTGGGTGGGAAATATTTCTATGGAAAAGTCAAAGCAGAGGCTTGAGTGAAAAGATACAATTGAAGGCCACCTGAGTGTGCTGGCCTGTGGCTGACAATCCTGCAGACAGCTCTTCTCGCTGGGAAGCTCCCACATCTTGACATGAAAAAACACACCCAGGATGACCCAAGTCTGCCCCCAGTGCCCAGGCTGTATGCTGCAGGGGGTCTTTCACCCCCCCACTCGCCAGCTGGGCTGGCCTCAGCCCTAGAGCAATGGTTTGGACCCATTTCCACAAAGGGCTCTGTGCAACACCCAAGAGAAGATGCTGACGGAGGGTGAAGGTGAACGGTGCCCCACTCCAGAGGGGAAGAAGCAGGAAGATCAGAGAGAGGCCTGGGCAGCGTTTGGGAGACACAATAATCACACCCCGTCCGGACCCAGCCCTTGCCACACTTTCCAGTGAGACTGAGGGGCTGTGTTCTCACCAGTAAATGCCGGTGGAGCAGCAGATACAGGGCGGCCGGGGAGGAAGCAGCTGGCTCTATTCAGATTCTACCTCCCCAAGAGGAGTAGCAGAGTAATGCAAAAGAATCTTCCAGACTCCCCAAATCCCAGATGTCTTATCTCTGGCAGGAGGATGCTGTGCTTGGAAGTGTGAGCTCTGTTTCTGCACGAACATTCACACCACTTACGACAGCAGCCCTCCAGCCTCAGGAGACCTATGGGTCTATGTGCCTGAGATCGGGCCAGGGTCAGTCGGCGCAGGACATTCTCTCCGCCTTTGGAGCTGGTACCATGCTGTTCTCTCCCGACTGGGGCCCCTCCCAAGCACTTCACATGGGCTGTCTCCAACACATCTAGCTTTTCTTATAAATGGTACATTTTCTAAGGGCAACAGCAGGTCCTCATGGCTGTAACACACAGTAGGCCTTCGGGGACAGCTGCTAAGCCAATGAACCCACTAGTCCTCCGGCCAGCCTTCCTGCTGTACTTTCCCAGCCCTCCTTCCTGCTGCACCCAATACAGGCATTCCACAGACACCTGGGAATTGTGCAAAGAGAAAGTGCTCGAAGGAAGAAGCATCCTGTTCCATTGACTCCTGCAGGAATCAGGGAAGCAGAAGCAAACTCGTAGTGGCTTTTTAGAGCCTTCCTTCGCAGAGCTCTACTCAGGAGGAGCAGGTGAGAAAACCACCCTCCAGGGAGCCACAGAAGCGGGTGTTTACCTCCCAGCCCTCCCCCTCCTCAGCCCTGCAATCTGCCAGGAAAATCTGCCAAAGGACTGTGTCCACAGCTGAGAAAAATGGCCAGGCCCATTAAGGGCTCTGCCGGCCTGTCATCTGACTAAAAAAGGCTCCAGCTGCACCAGCCCTGGGTGTGATGCCCTTTCATTTGTCCTGATTGGATTATTTTCACTGCAGCTTATTCAGATTGGGAAGCAAACGAAAGCTGCGTCTCCGTGTCACATGAGCTCATCATACATATGGGAGCATCATTTATTTAACAGGTTTCTGGAACCTACTAGAGTTACATATCTCAGGCAAAATGCATTTAGAAAAAACTAGACTGTTTCCTATCCACAGTTCCCCAGGTTCAGTGGATCTCTCTAATTCCAGGTCCTTCCCAAAGGCCTCAAAAGAGGGACCTGCTGTTCTTTCTGCTACCATCTTGTCACTGAATGCTCTGAAAGGATCGTAGGTATCCTGTGTCTGTGAATTATAAAAGACAGAGACTTTTGTCACCATACACTGAGACCAGCAAGCTTGGAGAATTTCATGCATCAAATGTGACTACATGCAAGACTGTAGGCCTCATAGGCAGTGATTCAAGCAGACGTCTGGGACTCCATGAATTTAGCCTGCTTGCCTGGGCCCTGAATTCGTGCCCAGAAAGCCTCTCTCCAGCCTGGAAGGGGGGGGTCCATGTTTCCCACGCAAGTGGAGTGACACTTGGCGTTTCCTAACTGGCGCCACGGCACATTGGTTTTAGCTAATCCTCCAGCTCTTCTGCCTGAACTCAGGCCAACGGGATACATGGGGGTGGGGGGACCAGAGGTAATCGCCATCTTGGAGAAGCAAACAGATTTCCACTTGATTAGATGCCTGGTGAGCATGCTCAGAAGTCAATGAGCAGAGAACTATGAATATGAGAGAGAGAGAGAGAGAGAGAGAGAGAGAGAGAGAGAGATCAAGGGTTTGTCTCACAATTACGCATACTAACAATTCCAAAGATCTGTAGTTGGCAAGCTGAAGACCTAGGAGGTGAAAGAGTTGTAAATCCTGTCTAAAGGCCAGAAGTCATGACCCTGGAAGAGCCTATGTCTTGGTTTGAAGGCAGGGAAAAAAATGAGATCCCAACTCAAAGGCAGGCAGGCAGGGAGGAGCCATCTCACCTCGCTCAGGAAGGACAAGCCCTTTGCCCTGTTCAGGCCTTCAGTGGGTCAGAGGAGGCGCAACTGCACGGATGAGGGACATCTGCCTTATGGGTCTACCTAGTCGCAGGCACCAGCACAACGATTTTTATGTAACCAAACATCTGGGCAGCCTCTGGCTCAGTCAAGCTGACCCACAGAATTCACCACCACAGGTTCACCTCTTTCTTATTCTGTATAACAAAGGCTGAGTGACATGAAGTGGAGAGATGGGTCAAGCTTCACTTCATTCTGCCCTGGGACACTTCCAGAGGACAAGCTGAAGAGACTTCAGAGAAAATGCAAAACAACCATATCTACAGTGCACCCCCGTAACCCCAAACTAGGAACCACTCAGCCCTAAGCAACCTGAGGTCAGGGACTATGTCTCAGTCAGCTGGATGAGTCCGGTGCCCATGATAGCCTGGTACACAGAGGCCCCAGTTTCGGTGTCTAATGCATGAATGAACAAATGAACAAAAAATTATCAATACTAACTTTACATCTACTGTCATGGTAAATTGAACACAAGTATCAAAGCCGAATTGCAAAGGGTCAAAACCTAAGCTGCAAAAACACAGTAGCACACGAATCTACCCAGTGTCAAGAACACAATGCCTATCTACAGAGCATCCTTGGGCTTCAAAAAGCAAATTCCCCACAGCCACAAAATGGCCACATCAGTCCCTGCCAGGAGCTGCTGGCTCTTTCCTGTCTGAGGGGCCATTTTTATTCCACTAAAATGAAGGTAACTGTGCCCTGTCCCTAACTAACTTCCTTTTCAGACTGTCCAGTGTGGGGCCTGCCTCCTGCACCATATCTCAGAGAAACACTCCCTGGAAGGGCCAGCCCATAGCTTCCACAACCCCGACAAATCAACCGGTTGCAGCACCTCTCTCTTTTCCAAGCTAAAAATAAGATTTGACCCTTTTACGGGTCACACATATGTTGCTGACATTTTCCTGTAGGCTGGGAAAAGCAAGTCAAAGCCATGAATCTCGAATATCCTTCCTGGGAAAAGCTCGGAGCAGTGGGGGCTGTTTCTTTCCCACCTTTGGGCACTAAAGATTGACAACACAGAAAAAGCACAGTGATGCCCAGAGCTTCGATGAACAGCTAAAATGCATTCATTTTTCTTCTCTTCTGAAAAGAAACTGCCTCTTTCTGGAACTTCCGCCCTCTTCCCTCATCCCTAGAAAAACAAATCTATTTTTGGCTGATCCACACATGAAGCCAGATTCTCAGGCCACACAGAGGAAGAAGAGAGGAGAGGAAACAGCCCAGGAAACAGAGAGTGATGGGAGAGGATGCTCCTGGCCCTTGACCCTGTGTAAGCTGCACTCAGCGCGCTGCCTGGAGCAGGTCCTTGGGCGCTGAACCAGAGCAGGGCACAGGGCGCGTGAGGCCATTTTGCTGCACTGTGGGCTCAGGGCCCATTCTGTGGGTGTCTTGTGATGAAAGTTGGTCACCAACTGAACATCAGAGGCCACCCCGGGGAAAGTGGGCAGGACATCTTCTGAGAGGGCTGATGGAACAAGGGCACAGCTATTGCTTTGGTGATGGGCCTCCCCCACCTGAGGTAGCAGACTCAGAAAACTGACTCTTGAGGTACAAAGAATTGAGGCTCCGGGGCGTAGGTTCTTCTAAAACCAGGATTTGGGTTCAACAGAGGCCAGCTCTGTACAGGGGATGGGAATACCGGTCAGCTCGGCCAGCCATCCTGCCACAAGCCAGACCCTCACAGGAGACCATCAAGACACAAGTTGTCTGCAGGTGCAAGAGCTGGAGCCACGAGGGTTTATGGAACCGGTCCCCACACAGATGAGCACAGATGGCACTGAGGTCCTGTCTCTAGGCCAACATTTACTGATGGCACACCGGGTGACCACGCCACCATCGTCACACAGGCATTTCCCACCACGCAGGTGACAGCCCTTTCCCCTCTCCGGTGCCCTGCATGACGCACACAGAGGAGAATCACCTTTATTTCCCAGATGCAGATATACAGTTTTTAGCCTCCAACCAAACTAAAATGCCTGGTTCATAGCTAATCGCCTTATTTATTTATTTATATTTAGTTAGCGGTTGTGGGGTTGAAGAGCCACAGCTGCAGCCCTTTTTTATTTTTTACTTTCAGACGGGTTTCCTTCCATCAGTCACTGAGTTTCCCAGGCTGGACTCAAACTTATGATCCGGGCTTACAGACATGCACCACCAGGCTCCATTTACTCGCTTTTCAAATATTCTTGTTTTCCAAGCCATTTCTTTATGGCTCTCTCATCCACTCACCACAGAGAAACATCTTTGAGATCCTAGCCCCAGGGAACCTACCGTGGAAGCACAGCCTGGAAAAATATAAAGACAGAAAGAAAATGGAGCCCGACCCCTGTCGTTGGGCGGGCGCCCGACTTCTCTCCCAGGAGGAAGCTGAGAAGCAAGAAGGCTCCTTGTCCCCATGCCCTTGTCCCTTCCTCACTGCGTCTAGAGGAGCTGTGAAAGCTGGACAATCCCCGAGCGGACCCCGCCCCAGGCATCCCAGGCTCTTCTCCCTGACCCCACCAACGCCAACTTCTGCCCTCACCTGGTAAGCAGCTTGTCTCATGAACTGCTTGGCCGGCTGTTTCCAGATGGCAGGCACCGTGATGACCCATCTGACATCAGAATTCTCGAACTCTGAACCCGCCTGGTCACTCAGCTCCTGGAGCCAAGAAAGTGAGGGCAGCAGGTCAATCTGCATGGCTGGTCCCTCAGGGCAATTTCCTGGGGCTTCACTGAGAATCCAGGTTTCTGGCCACAGACTCTGGAGCAGTCTGCTCCGGCAAATCCCAGGAAATTTCTGAATATGTAGCAAGCTGGGAGCTCTGTCTCCTTCCACTTGCTGAGGAACTCGGCAGAGAGAGGTGTGAGGCAGACCAAAATCCCTTCGGCTACTTCCTAGGCATGGGACTTGGCTGAGTGACAACCTTTCAGGCTCAGTTTCCATGTCTACACAATGAGGGCAGTAATACCTGGCTCACGGGTTGTGCGGAGGATTGTGAGCTGCTACTGAGAGCCTGTAGTGTGTCCACCCCTTGGAGCACTCGGCGCGCCCTGCTGACCCATTCAAGCGCCTGGTTAGGAAGGGAATCTGAGCCCTTTCCTGCGGATGGGAACACTGAGACTTACCCATGGTCTGCTCCTTTCTGACCACTATAAAGCTAGCAGCAAATGAAGGGCCAATATTAGGCCCAGACCTAAGTCTGCCTTGACTTTAAAAGCCAAGGTCTTAATTAAACTGTCACCTTTGGTCTCAGGTCTAGAACAGTGCCATCTAACAGCCAGTGGCAGCGGCCGTCGTGGTTGTCGTCACTGTCATCCGCCTTCTGTGTTTGGGGTCAGGGGCTTCCTGGCAGGACAGGGAGGATGTGGGTGACGCGACCTAACCATCAGTCCTACCTTCAGTGCCTGCTCCTTAAAGTACTGCAGGGCATAAGCAAAGATTTCAAGAGCTTTGACTTTCTTTCCATTTGCTGCGGTCAGGTCTGTATCCATGGTGAGGTCCTGGGAGTGGTAGGGAAGGAAGGAAATAATAAGATGAAGGAGAGACGTGCTTTGGCTTTGGGGCCTGCCGCTTCGGGGCCTGGGGAATCATGGGGGCCGTGTCTGTATTTCCCCAGGGCTGACAAGGCAGATTAGGATGGTGTGTACCCCAAGACAGGGCCTGTAGCATTGTTCCCTTACCGTGTGAGAGGTTCTGGCTGCTCCCCCCGCCACCCACACACACCCTGGGCTTCTCTGGGAACAAAGGTTTGGGGGAATAGCAGAGGCCCAAGGGAGAAAACAAAGAGCAGGTGTCACTCCCAGTGTCATTTAGGCACTACGTCCACACGTGAACACACACGGTCGCCCTCAGAAGCCCCAAGGAGGCCTAAATCATGCCAACTCACTGCCATGCATGACATTAAACAGACGTGAAGCTTTCATTTGCTAGCGAGTTGCCATTCGAGTTACCAAAATAGAAAAGCTCCTATTTTAAGCCCTGCCCTGTCTAATCCTCTGGGAGCCCAGCATCACTGCCTCCCTTCCAATGCCAGAAGCTACAGCCGCTGCTGCACCCGGACCCGGGACAGACAATGCTCTGCAGAGCCCAGATGCTGGGGGAACAGAGGTCATTAAGAACTGATGAGGAAAGTCCCGGTGGGGTGGAGGATGGGCAGGAAGTGGGAGTAAAATCAGGAGGAGGCCCCTGAACCAACAAGCTCATTACTGCTAAGAAAAAAAAAAATCAGTGGGGCCTCTGAATGATGCAGGGTAGATAACTATGCTTCGCCTTTGGAGCGAGGAGGGACGCTGAGTTACAGAACCAGCCTTGTGCAGCCGCCAGGTGTGTGGTGACCCACTGCACGCACTCGCTCCTCCCAGCCAGCCACCTCCTTCTCATGGTACTCAGCAAAGACACCCCAGTTTTGGGACCCCAGGCACAGGAAGGTGGCCAAGCACCAGAAAGAGCTGGCTCTGGAAGAGAAAAAAATCCCTATGCTTCTGTCTCCACTTCCGCAATCCCAATACTCCGCACCAAATCCTGTAAGGAGGATCAGGTCCTGGCATCTGTCTGCACACAGAGACACCCACAGATGAGCATGGGGCCCTGGAAGGCAAGGGCTCGCTGCTGAGTTTACTATTCACATTTGTTTTCTCATCTGCAAAGAGCAGCAGACAAAGGAAAGCAGGGCCAATAGGAGCTAACACTTGACTAGAATCTATCCTGTGCCAGGCACAACTCAGAGACATTTCTATAATTGGAGTCTTCTAATCCCTACAATATCCCTGTGAGCAAGACACTGTCACTGTCTCCATTTTACAGACAAGGTGAAATGAGGCACAGCAGCATTAAGTAACTTGGAATAAAGCAACACTTTGAAGGCACTAGAGGCAAGATTCAAATCCAGGCCACCTGGCCCCAGAGTCTTGGTCCTAAACACTATTACCACCACCTGTGTCTCTAAGCGCTCAGCGAGCAGGAACAGCTACAACAGTGCTGATGAACGTTTCAGAGCTTTCAATGATGCAAACAGCCCTCTGTGGCACATGTGCCATAGGTTCGCCACCACTGATGTGGGATAAAATGTCTAAGTTGAAAAAAAAAATCCATGCTGTGCCCAGAGTTGCCTTTCTTATAAGTTTTAGGGGTGGGAGGGGGGGTGCTTCTCTTCCACAGTTTACAAGACACAGGTTTGCTGCAAGCATAACTGAGGCCACAGTGCTTCCAGTTCCTGGCACTTGATGTCTTGAGTACCCTCCCACACAGAGGGTTGACCTGACAGCTGTTACCAGTTGTTCCCTGCAAACTGGTTAGTTAATAGCTACTGCCCGAAATCCCCCACAACTGTCCCTGACCCTTGAGTTGCTCCCTATGGATAGAGGACCCCCTGATCTTCCAATAATCCAACAACCGAAGGGGGAACTCCTGGCACAGCAGGCGGACCCCAGCCCTCTCTACCTATGCAGCAGCCAGGGTCCCCTCTGACAGACGAGTTGTTAGATGCTACGAGTATTGCCCTGCTCACATGTGATTCAGAAAGCATTGTGCTGTTTCTAAAATCAAGGTGAACAGACATGAGTTTCTGCTTGGGAGATACTTAAGGGTCCCCTGGTTTGCAGAGATGCAAAGGCTGGAAGCTGGAGGGCCCCTGGTTCTCTTAAGCAGAGAACTTGGGCCAGGTAAGAGGCTTGCTCACCCCTGTAGTGTGCAGCTTCATCTTGAACTTCTCCAGGTACAGCCACTGCTTGGCCTCATTGGGATCCAGGTCATGGTAGAAGTCCCTGGCAGCATACCCAAAGCTGTGGAACTTCCTCTCGGGGGTCAGCAAGATGGTGGTTGGGGTCTTCTGGTTGGACACACCAGGGTCACCTCCTTCCCATCGCCTACCACCAAGGGAAGCCAGAGGTTATGGGGATTTCTTTCAAAATCCCAGTGCGGGCAGCAACTGCTGTATGTACGACTGTCGTGGCTGAGGGTGCCCAGACACATTCCAGGTCAGTTGGCTGGGTAGTGGCTAGAGACACAACTTCAGTTAGCAAGGAAAAGGGAGGGGGGCCGGTGCCACATTACTGCTCAATAACAAAGTCTGCCTGCATCCTTTCAGCATTACTGAGTCGCAACTGTATGCCACGAGCTGGTGACACAGGGCTGAAATATTATGTCTCTGGTTTCAAATAACTCACAATCTCTTAGGTAATGAGGTTTTTTTTGGTTTGCAGTTTTTCATCTGCAAGCACAGGGGCCCAGGGAAATGGCCTGATGGGTCAAAGAAGGCAGGAGAGCCAGGTGGTGGAGCTCGGGGGGGAATGCAGAGCTCAGGAGAGACTAGAAGAAGAGAAGGGCAGTTGAATCTCAAAGGAGGGAAGGACACCTAGGCTGCTCGGAGGAAGCAGGCACTGGGCATGTGTAGGTGCCATGTGATGGTGTTGGTTAGACCAAGAGTGTGCAGAGGAGAAGGGTGACTGGGCAAATGAGGATCGTGGGAAAGGGGATTGCAAAAGTGGTTGGAATGAGGCTGGGGAGAACCCTGAGAACTTACAGAGTCAAGGTATGAATAACGGGGCGCTACTGAAGGTCTTAGAGCAAAGGCATGGCAGAATCAGAACAGACCAGAGAGAGAGAGAGTGACAGGAAGCCAGGAGGAGGTGAGGGAGAGGTCAGGCCTAGCCTGAGAACAGGAGTGAGAACGTGACAGGCAGGAAAGGCAGAGATGCAGGGATGTGGAGCTGGTTCAGAGGGAGAGAACAACCACTTGGATATGGTGGTGAGCAGGAGAGCAGGGGCCCGGAGCTGTGAGCTTGGGAGCCTGGAGGAGACGGCGTGGACAATCAGTGAATGGTCCTGACCAGGGAGGGGCCGCAGGGACTGGGGGGGGGGCCCACTGGTGTGTGTGGTACTGAGTTTCTGGGGGCTGAAGACACAAGCTCTCCGCTTGGTGACAGCTACAGTGACAAGACGCAGTGAGAGGAGCGAGGGGAGCATCAGGGGCAGAAGTGAGAACCCACGGTCGTGTGCCAAGGAGGAACCAGAAAAGACAGAGAAGGGTACAGACACACGAGCAGGAAGGAGTGATGAAGTTTCCTTCCCTCTTCCAGGCACACAGAAAGGGAAGTGAGTGGGGAAGGCTGGTGTCACTTTGCTCTTCCTCTCTCCTCGGGGGTTGCTGCCCAGAGCTGCTGAGCACCCAGGCTGCTCCCCACGTAGCCAGGTCCCAGCCACACGGCCCTGGGCACAGCCTCAGGTGGAGATTTGCCGTGGAGGGGAAATGAGTCACATCTCCTGGCCCACGGGAGAGGTGGCTGCACCCTGTCTGAGCTCAAACCTGTTGCCTGCACTGCCTCACTATGCACTGGCAGGGCCGCTGGCGTCGATGGGGCACAAACTCCAGGGAGATTTGCCACTCAGGTGGCCAATTTCCCAGTCAAACTCTGTCAGGATGCAGGCCTCAAGCTGGGAGCCAAAGTCCTCAAGGTGACTGCACGGAGACACAGGGCTGGTTCTTATGACATGGATTTCACAAAAGGACCTGTCAGTACTATTAGTGGTGACACTTTCGGCAGATAATGACCCCATGAGCTTTTTCCCTTCGAATTTTTATTCCTTCACTCCCATTTAAATGCAAAGTGTTAAACTACCTCATTCTAACCTTTATAACTCTGTATCGTGGTTATGCTAAGATGATCTGACTGAAATAAAATTGAGATACAGCCAGTCTCCTACAGAATCTCTCCAATAACTAAGATAACATCTCTGAGGCCCTGAGCCATGCTGAGGCTGTAAGTGTCCTCTAGGCAAGTTCAAAGTTACTTTTACTCTTTTTTACCCATATTTTCACTGCTTGCCTATTCTGTGGAAGTAACATTTCTCAGAATTACATGGAAGCTCATAAACATGGATTTGTGCCCTTTTCCAATCCTCCGAGCCTCCAAACATCTGTGAGGTCCAGCAGAGACAGACACGTAGGGCCAACCAAGCACTGAACAGTATGCGGTCATCAGGATTCACTAACATGACTAGTTTTCCATTATTTTCTAGTAAGACCACCCCCAAGGGCCTCTGGAGCCTCACAACTGTGGCATCAGGCTGAGCCCCTCTGGTTTTCAAGAGAAAGTAGGGCCTAAAGCAAGGTTTTAGGGTGATGTGAGTGATACACAGTACTCTATAGAAATACCTACAATCTTACTCTGGAAGTCATGACTAAATTCCACAATTGCTCACATAAAGGCCATGCAAAACCAGTTACAGTGGCTCTGAAGACATCCTGTGGGTGGGGAATCAAGGTGATAAATCCCAGGTTTCCAAAGCTTTGAGGGAAACAGATGTGCATGAAGGTCATGGGCCAAGACTGGGAGAGATGGCATTGGTGCCAGCAGAGATCCGAGTCCTCCCAGACACTAGATCTTGGGGTTGTACAGTGTGAGGATTTGAGGAGCTATGCTGTGCGTGGTGGCATGGGGGGGTGGTGTCTCACACAGGCACCCCGAGAAGCACTCGGTCAAATTTCCTGTTAGAGTCACTTAGCTGACATTCACACCTCACTGCTTTCTCTCAAGCCTGGCACTTTCTGTCTTTGGTGGTGTCACTGGCAGTCTCTTCCCTTGGGAGAGCCAGAACCTCCTCTGATAATCTTGTTTTACATGCTGAGCATTCACTTAATCTGCATGAACACTCACTTTACAGATGAGGAGACTGAGGTTTAACAGGGTCAAAAACTGCCTTAGGTCACATAGCAAGTGGCTAAGCCGGCATCTGGACTACCTCCATCACAGTCAGCTGGCCCCTCTCATGCAGGCCATACCCTGGAATTACGAGGGAGTTAGACGTACTACACAGTCCCTCCCCAGATAACTAAGTCAGAATTAAACCAATATCCAACAAATGGCGACCTGGAGCCCGAGGTCAGAATGGCTTGTCTAAAGTGGCACAGAGGGTCTGGGCTGAGCTGGACCAGAATCCCAGGAAGCCCCTGAAGTGCCATATGCCATTGCAGTGGCTAGCCTGGGGTTCCACAGTGCAGTGGCTGATAAGGTCACCTGTCCTCCCACCACGGCACTCACCTCATCACGTGGATGCATTCTGGCTCTTTGGTGAAGCTATAGGCATAGCCACTGGATGTGGTCCCGAAGTCGATGGCCACCACAACAAGAAATGTCTGCTGTTCTGAGACGTTGGAGTTGGCATCATTCTGCAGAAATACAGTGAGGTGAGGCCAGGCTTGGCCTTCAGGAAGACCTCAAATTTGAGCAGTTCCACTCCGCAGTGCCACTGCCGCAGGAGGAAGGATGCCCACACTTTGGAACAGGTTCCCATGTAGCATCCGTGGGGTGAGGGCAGGACAGGCCAGCCCCACCTGAGTGACTCAGGGAGAATGTGGGCACCAAGGGAGGCCAGGCTGACTGGACGAGAGCACTGCCTGCAGCCTGGCTGCTTCCCTTCATTAATTGTGTGTGCTTGCATGAAGTTAATTACAGAAATGCTGCCATCAGGGTGGAAACCTCAACAACTCCTTCGACTCTATCCCTTAGTCCCTGTGCCAACCTCCAGCTGATGCCCCGAGTACTCTGCCAGCTGTGCCGTTCATGCCTCCCACTGACCTCTCCATCTGTGCCAGCATATCCTGCATGTGAGAGGGCTCGGCACACCCTGCCGGGTCCTGCACACCCTGGTCCTGCTGAGCCCTGTGCCCTCAGGGCACAGAGCCTTTCCCTTTGTCAGATCACTAGGGCAGGTCACTCCAGGTTTCCTAAGGTTTCTTTTTTTAAGCAATGTAGACTTTCTTCATTTTTTAAACTCCCACAGAATTCTATATTATACAACAACACATTTTAGATTTGGCTGGATTGGTTGAAGCAGGGATAAGAACACTACTCACTGGCTTCTCCTCTTACTGCCCACTCCTACCCATGCCACTCTGAAGCTCCTACAGGGTGCAACGTTTGAAACCACAGGACCTGGCCAACCCTCCCGGTTTTTCCAGGACTGAGGTAATTTCCAGGATACAGAAATTCTGGTGTAAAACTGGGACATTCCAGGAAAACCAGGACAAATTGGTACCCCCTACTCAGTGATGGCTCTAAAGTTCCCAGCAGCGCCTTTAGAGAGCTGAGCACCCTGTGCAAACTGCCCATTCCTGTTGGCTACAGATACACCCCTTTGAACGGCTGCCCCACACTGTCTATCTCCTTCTGAAGTGCAAGCTGGGGGAAGCTTGCTGTAGGCAAAGACTGCTCAGCCTTCTCCCTTGGGCAAGCTGCTCTGCAGAAGCAATTACTCTGCACAGGCTTGTGGATATGGCCGGTAACTGCAGTGGGCAAAGGCCCTGCATTTCACTGGTTCACCTGCCAAAAATGGCTACTTCCTTTCAAAAGGATGCTGTACAGTCTCTGGGCCCTGAGTCATTAAAGAGCTGCTTCTACCCTGCCAGATCATGTTACCCACCCACACTCACAGCTCCAGTCTCACCAGCCATACCACGAGTCTTTTTGAGCCCAGGAAGGGAAGACACATGGCGGGGTCCATGTGGCTGGTAATGGGTCAGTTTGATCTTTGCCCAGTGGACATAGGAGCTGCCCAGCAGCCTAAACTGTTACAGCAGACCCAGAGAGCACCACACACACACACACACACACACACACACACACATCCCACGCATACATGCACACAATTTCTTACCACAATATGGGATGGAGAGAGAGGCGTTATTCCTGTGTCTCCAAGACTCCGGGCTGGAGATGAATATGCAGATGTGGGGGCTGTTTCTGAAAGGAAAGACAAAGTCTGTTCCTTAGAAATGGCACGGGCTGGCCCAGAGAGCAGAAGTAAGGACTGCACAGCTTTGCCCCTCTGGGCACGTGGCTTCTCAAATGCCAACTAACATGACAAGCAGGGCCAAACCACAGCCAGGAGGTCAGGGTGTCTGCATTCAGGCCAGCAAGCCTTGTGTTTGGCATTTAGACCTTAACCAAATAAGATGTCCCTGCCCCTTTCCTCCCAGTGACTGCCAGACCCCTCCCTATGCCACCCAACCCCTCCAAGCAGGATGGCGAGCCCCCAAAATGCCCCAACCTGGCTGTGGACCCTGGAGACCTAGTTCTTAACCCAGGCTCGTTGACGAACCAGTGGACCCGAATCACCTGAAAGGATGTGCCAGTTTCTGAAGCTTTTTCTGGAAGAGGATCCATGGCCCTCCCCGGGTTCTCAAAGGAGGGTTAACTACCCCATCCTAGGAATCCATCAGTGTAACTTCCAGACAGAGGGTCTAGGCCTGGCAGATGCCTTCCCTCCTTCACCCTCTGGTAGGAGGGCCCCACCAGAGGACGGCGAACTTATCTCTTCAGGGACACTGAAGGTTTCTGACTTTCAGGAGAAAAGCCACAGCAATAAGGCAGCTGGATTAGCAAGCCTGGCCCTGCAAAGGGGGCCCAGAAGAGATACAAGGTCAAACCCTAGAGTAAGCAGCAAAGCAGCACAAACACTATACTTCCGTCAGCTAGATGCTGTTGCAATTATTCAAGCACGGGTGTTTGCTCTGGAGCCTTCTCAGAGCCAGGGCTCTGTCCCTGAGAAGGGTCCCCAAGAAGAAGTGTCCTGGCCCTGGTTAGTCCTGGAATGCTCCACAGTTCCTTCCTGTCTGCTACCCAGGACTGGCAGGGCCCCAGAGCACTCAAGCAAGGACCCCACTGTGTGACCCCACAGGGGAGACGAAGGCCTGATACTGCACGCCTACAGGTACCATGGGCCACAGCAGGCTCTGCATATCCCACTCCACTTAGTCACTGCCTAATACCGGGCAGGAAGGTTTGAAGTTCTGGGAAAGTCTTGTCTGCTTCTGGGGGCCTTGAGGAGTGGCTCCATCTGCCACTTCTGTTAAGTCCCTCTGTGTTGATCCCAGGCTCTTGCAAATTTTTTTTCTACAGAGGGGAACCTCAAACAGCATCATGATAATGGTTACCAAATGGGCTAAGGGATGCAACAGACCATGAAAGAAAGAATGTGAAGACTCAAATCTGCACAATGATTCCCTGATCTGCAGGTGCATGGCCTCTCTCCTCCCAAGGAGGCTCAGCCCCAGCCTCTGTGAGATGTGTGCACAGACACCTGATTACAGAGGCAAGCTTCAACTTATTGGGCAAAGGGCTTGGCAGACACTTCTCAGAGAAGACACATACACTGTCAGAAAGCATAACAAGGGCGAGGCGGGGAAGGGGCAGTTAGCTCAGTGGTGCTGCTTCCTGCCTCAAAAGTGCAAGGATCCCAGGTAACAACAACAACAAACAACAACAAAAAAGAAGAAAGCATATGAAAAGATGTTCAACACTATTAGAGATATACAAGTCAACAACACAATGATACACCACTTCACACCCCACTAAGGGTGACTACAATTTTTTCAAAAGGAAAGGAAAATAACAAGTGTTGGCAAAGATGCTAAAAAATTGGAACCCTTCTGCATTGCTAGTGAGAATGTAAAATGGTGTAACCATTGAGAAAAATACTTCAGCAGTTCCTCAAGAAATGAAATACAGAATTATTGTGTGACCCAGCAACCCCATCCATAGGTGTCTACACAAAAGAGCAGAAAACAGGGACTCAAAGAGTTGCTTGTACATGCATGTTCATTACAGCATTATTCACAATAACCAAAAGGGAGAAACAACCCAAGTACCCATCAACAGATGAGTGGGTAAACACAATGTGGTATATACATACAAGAGAAGAATACTTATAAGAGAATGGCATTTTTATATGTTACAACATGGATGAACCAGAAATTATGCTAAGCAAAATAAATTGGACATGAAAGGAAATATTATATTTTGTAATTCCACAAAATCAACTTGCTCATCTGAGAAAGAACATTATTTTCTATTCCTCTTGGAACTCATGACCCAGTGTTCTTTGAGGGGGTGAGGAGTGAGGGGATCAAATCCAGGGCCTTACACATGCGAGGTGAGACCTCTAACTTGAGCCCAGACTGATGCTCTGACCATAATGGAAAAATTAACTTGGTTCCTCAACCAGTCTGCTGAACTCTACCATCTTTGCTACTCTCCCAGCGCAAGGGCGCTTCTTCCACAGAAACAGGGGGGACTGTGCCTCTCCACCTAGGGGCTCAGCCAGATGACCTTTCGACCTGCTGGTCATAGTTCAGCCCCTTGGGCAGCTTCAGAGAGATGCCATCCAGCCCCAGAGCTGCCTTCCCTCCACCTGCTACCTGGAAGGCCCAGGGCCATGTGTCCACATTTGCACAGAAGGTCTTGGAAGAAACCAAATGTCTAATTGCCCAGAAAATCTGGTGTTGGCAATTAGCAAACAAGCTATTATCCACCGACAATCCATCCACCCTGCTGCTGCTCAGTTCTAATTATCACTCAAACCTTCTCAGGGAATATCCTGGGTGGTTCCACAGACTTGCAAAATAGCATGGGTTGAGCCACACACTGAACACATTCCTGGGGCTCCCAGGGTACTGCGAGGGCAAGGAGGAAGGAGTTTTTGGTTCTCCGTGCTTCCTACCCCATTGGATATAGGGCAGCATGAAACAAAATTGTTTGATTTACCAGGCTTAGAGGCAATTGAGCTTCATGGACTACATTTCTGCCTAATAAATCCCTTTATACCTCTTTTTTTAAACAGCAAAATTCAGCTACGTTGTGTGACAATTTAAGACATAGTGTCTCTGCGTAGGAGATACAGGGGAGAAATATTTCATAGACATCTGTTGTATATTGTGTATACCTCTATCTGCAAGACTATATATCCATATATTCTAAATTGAAGCTATTCACCAGTTAATGTCCACCAATCCAGCATGGGAATACACAAAGCCTGAAGTGACATATTTGTTCTCTGGTTAATATTTCTGTACTTTACAATTTAGGATGTCAGAGTGGTGTTCAGACCTTCAAGGGGAAAGACTATGAGAAAGCCTACTGAGCGGTCAGAGTGCAAAGTTTAATTCTGTTGTCCCTACAAGTCTCAGCAAGACTGAAGACCTTGCATGCCTTGGGTAAATCATGAGGACTAAACACAAAAAGGCCAACAGATTCCTGCCTATTAATCTGAGAATATTTGACAGATGTGAGCTAACAGACAACAGGAGAGAAATGGCACATGGAATGTCTGTGCATACACGGTATAAACTGTGTGCTTCCCTGGCACCAATTACACACAGGCCATTATCTACAGTAAGAAATACTACACGTCACTTAGTTGTAGGCCTGTTTATGCTGCTTCCGTAAAGTCAGTATGATAACGACTTTCCCTGGGTCGCCTCCACCTGAGTGAGACTCCAGCTCAGCACACACACGCTAACTCGGACACTGTGGGAACTAAAAAGAAGTGTGAAGCTAAAAGCTCAGCTTAAGTACAGGTTGATACAGTACAGACTCAGAAGAAAGAAAAGGGGCTGAAAGAAATAAAGCGCAGGCCCAGCTGTGGAGGTAAAGGAAGACTGCTGAGAGAGAGAGAGAGAAGGAAAAGGCTTTACCAGAAAATGCAGTCCATGGCAGAGCTAAACGACGTGGAGTGTGAAAAGATGCCTACCCCACCGTCCCAACTAAGTCACCCAAAGGCCACCCAAAGCATCGTCCATGTCAAGCACTAAGTTACCTGGACGTCCATTACACAGAAGGGTTTCAGGAGTGCATGCCATGAATCAGAAAAACACCTACCATATGAAGAATGCAAACTATCAGCCACAAAGGGGTTCAGTAGCTGAAGGGGAGAGACCCTAGAATTTTCAGGCAAAGAGAAATTAATTCCCTTGGTTCTTAGTTTTAGGTAACTTAATATCCCTTCAGTCACATAGTGTACAGACAATTATTTTAGTTTAGTAAATATAAAAACAAGTTGGATGGCCGGGCACAGTGGTGCAAGCCTGTAATTTCAGCACTTGAGAGGCTGAGGCAGGAGGATCGCTGCAAGTTCGAGGCCAGCCTGGGCTCCATAGTAAGCTCAGGGCCAGCCTGAACTACACAAAGAGGCCCTGTCTCAAAAACCAACCCCCCCACCAAAAAAAAGAAAAGAAAAATCAAGTTGGTAAGGGTTGTTTTATAGATTCACTCTTAAACCTTGAACTCCCATCCCAACACATTCTTTAAGTCATTTTAAAAATAATTTTTGCAGTCAGGAGGGTATATAAACAAATGAAAATCTTTTTTAACCATGTAAAGGACAAAAAAATAAAAGTATTACTCGCCCAACAAGTCTCTTGCCATAATACTGCTGAGAACCCTGAACCAGGTTTTTGAGAAAGAATTAGTTTAACTTTTTAATTAAATCCTCTTCATTGGCCTTAGTAGTGCAGGAATTAAAATGTAGGCTTCAGCTGGATTCCTGCTATAAAATGGGAGACATGTAAAATTCAGGCACATTTTTATTTGCTTCCAGCTCTAATGGCTTGAATCAAAGCAGATATTCTTAAAATTAAAAATAGTCTCACTAAAAGAAGCTCAAGGAGAGCCATAACTCATGAACTTGCTTGTTACTCTTCTCTGCTAGAGACATTCGTCGGCAAATGGCCGTGAGCAGAATGACAGACTTTCTGAGACATGGAAAATCGATCTTGGTCCATAAATACAGCATTTTTACAGATGAAGGCAGAACCGCCGGACAGACTTTATTCTACGGAGCTCCAGACTAACGTGAAACAGGACAGGTGGTCTCACAAAGTGACAGGGTCTTCTCTCCAGACAGTCCTCCTTGCCAGCTTGCAGATCTACCTATCAAATAAACGCCCATTTCAAAATGACTTTTA